ATTCAACCACCTAGATAGATTACATCTGAGGGAAAAGAAAGGATGTGATGTTCAGAACATGGTAACTACAGTAATAATCAAAGTGGGAAGTGATCCCCTCTTGGGGCATTTGGCCAGGGGTGTTTTTACACCACAGACAAGGCTTGAGAAGAATAAAATCATTATGAAAATCGAATTATATTTTCCTTATTATAGTAATTATTTCCTTATTGGTTATTTTGGGAAAATCCCAGGTATTTTGAGCAGTAGGATTATAAAAAAATATATGCTAATATAAAATTAAATGATAAAAGTAGCCTTTTACTCGAGTAAAATTGAAAACTGAGTACTTTTTCTCAAGTACTTGATTTGTGTACTTCGTCCACCACTGGCAATTGCCTACTTTCTACGGTTTCATCAGGGTTCAGTTTTATGTCCTTTCTTTTCAGATTTCTCAGTTTTTTTTTATTTACTGAAAATTAACAATTTTTTAAACTTACATTTCAGAGTTGATTGAAGAAAACAAGGAGGATGAAGAACTGAATGAAGAGGAGAAACATCACGTCAAAACTGGAGAAAAACCTTCGAGTCGCTCTCAAACCAAACAGAAAGATTTAAAGAAAAGAAGAGCCAAGAAATCTTTCACCTGCACTCAGTGTGGTAAGAGCTTGAAATGCAAACAGAGTCTCATGATTCACACGAGGATTCATACTGGAGAGAAACCATTCACTTGTGATCAGTGCGGGAAGAGTTTCACACAATCATCACACCTTAAGAGACACATGATCATCCACACTGGAGAGAAACCCTTCAGATGTGATCAATGTGGAAAAACATTTTTAAGTGCTTCACACCTGAAGAATCACCTGAAAGTTCATACAAAGGAGAAACCACATTCATGTTCTTTGTGTGGAAAGAGTTTTTCACATCTGCAGAATTTAAAAGTTCATCAGAAGATACACACTGGTGTGAGAGATCATATGTGCTTTGAGTGTGAGAAGACTTTTATTACAGCTCAACATTTGAAACTGCACGAGAGGATCCACACTGGAGAGAAACCTTACAAGTGTTCACACTGTGACAAGAGATTCAGTCAGTCATCACAACTGAAAACACATGCGAGGATCCACACTGGAGAGAAACCATTCAAATGCAATCAGTGTGGGAAGAGTTTTACATACAAAGGAGGCCTTATGCTGCATATGAGAGTTCATACGGGAGAGAAGCCGTTCACATGTGATCAGTGTGGGAAGATATTCGCACGAACATCAAAACTTAAGGATCACATGAACATCCACACTGGAGAGAAACTGCATGAATGTGATCAATGTGGAAAAACATTTTTGTGGGCTTCAAACCGGAATAATCACCTGAAAGTTCATTCAAAGGAGAAACCACATTCATGTTCTTTGTGTGGAAAGAGTTTTTCACATCTGCAGAATTTAAAAGTTCATCAGAAGATACATACTGGTGTGAGAAATCATATGTGCTTTGAGTGTGAGAAGACTTTTATTACAGCTAAAGATTTGAAACGGCACCAGAGGATCCACACTGGAGAGAAACCTTACACGTGTTCACACTGTGACAAGAGATTCAGTCAGTCAGGAGACCTGAAAACTCACGAGAGGATCCACACTGGAGAGAAACCGTATCACTGCACTGCATGTGGGAAGAGTTTCAGTCGTTCATCTTATCTACGCAGTCATACAAAAAAGATTCACAGTCAGTAGATCATCTGGATTTATAATTTTCTGTCTAATAGGCCGCAAGTGGTAAAAGTGGACAATTCATGATCACCCACCATTGTTCTTAATACTGGTGCCCCCCAAGGATGTGTGTTAAGTCCATTTCTTTACATTCTCTATACGAATGATTGTCAGAGTCCATCTACTACTATTCATTATTTTAAATATGCAGATGACAGCTATTCTTGCGTTGCTCAAAAACAGTGATAACGATTCTTTTTTGGACTATCAACGTTCCATAACATATATTAGCACATGGTGTGATGACAATTTTTTACATCTTAACATTTCAAAGACTAAAGAACTGGTTTTTAGCTCCTCCAAAACACAGATCCATCCCAGTATTGACATTAACGCGGAGATGGTTGAAAGAGTCGAGCATTTTAGATACCTTGGCATTACATTGGATGATCATCTCAGTTTTAATCAGCATATCTTAGGTATCCATAAAGGCTGTCAGCAGAGACTTGTGGCGCTTTTCCACTGCGTGGTACGACTCGGCTCGG